GCGATCCCTATGAGTGGAGTGGCCGGAAACTGTTGGTCAATGTCCGAACACACTGACCATTTGGAGCTTGCGCACAAAATAGCCGCAGAATTGGGCGAACCAAAGAAAACTTATGAAGAACTAGTTACATTTTTGAAATCAGCTCCAGCCGATAAACTTAGTGAATACAGCTTAGAATTTGTGAAAAATATACAAATCAATATCCGATTTGCTCCCGTCATTGAAAGTGAGTGTTTCAATTACGCTATTCTTCAAATTGACGTGATAAGAAAATTATGATTCCCTCACTTCAAACAGGACAAGACGCAGAGCAGCCATTCTTAACGAAATCCCCGCAGAAAATTTACGAGACAACACAATTCGACTTTGATGTATTGTTTACCATAACTTCTGCGGTATGTTTCACACAAAATGAAGCTATTCAACTATTTAAATAAAATACGAACTAACGACATTTTACGTTGAAAATTTTTCATTCAGGAATTCGTAGGATTGATGAATCTTTTTCCTCCGCCATTGGAAGACGTATTAAAAAGCGAATTTGAGTTACCGTTGCCATTTAAGGGACTGGAAATTCCAAAAGATGTGAGTTGTGCTATTGACAATCTCTCCATGGTAGAAATTGAAGCTATCAACTCTTTCTCTAAAGGATCAAAGGATTTTGACGAAGAAAATTCGTGAATTCTACTTTGATGGAAGTGCTGATGCACTTAAGCAATATGTGGATCTGTTGTCGGACATAAATTTCGGCTATGAAATTGATAAAACTGTAAAGACCCATGCAGCCAAATCAAATGGCAGAACTTTCTATGCAGTGTAATTATGTGATTTGTATTTTTATTTGCGAAAAGAAGTTCCAAGGAACCAATCTATGTATTGTAGACGGATCGTCTACCCCACTACAATTATTATAAACTGTAAACTGTGTATCAATCACAAATAGCTTTTCGATGGACTCCAAACTGAACGTACTAAAACGCCAAAATCCGGAAGTTGCTAATGTTCCTGGAGCCTCCCATTATGATGAGGTTCACTATTTATTCCGGTAAATCTGACAAAACTGAACAAAACAATCACTTTCGTTTATTTCATTCTCATAACAATGTGACCAATATTGTCCGCAGATTTAAATCGGCCCAGTCACTTTATGATGACGTTCTAAGCAACATGGAAGATGAAGGATCTAAAATCAGTCTCAAATTAATTGACAACATCACGCACTTGTTTACGAATTTCGCAAAATACGGGTAGGTTCTTTCAGTTTAAACAGTTCTTTTAGACAAAATTCTAACTTTTCATTCAAAGCATGAAATCCTTTCACTTATTTTAATCATTTTGTTAAAAAAATGTCTTTGCTTTCTCTTCGAATTGAAAAATTGGGACTTCCAAACAGTGATCTGTTTGACAAAAATGATTCCATCCAAATTCGACCAGTTCAAGGTGACAACGTTCATTATCTCGATTTGAACAACTACGGATTCACAACTGGCTTGAACCCGAAAAAAGAAACCTTCGACTTTTTGGCAGACATCGAACGACAGGCAATTTCTGTGAATTCATTGAAGCAACGAGATGAGCTTTAATTAGGTTCAGTCCAGTTTTGTCGCGTGAAATGAATTATTGTCTATCTGTCAACGAAGAGATTTTCGATTCATTGTGACAGTTACTTTTAATATAGTTGCTTTAGAAATTGCAGATTTAAGATTTATATATTCAAATAAGAAAGAAAATCCTTGTTGTAACGTCTATCCTAATAGACCATCTTCACCTAAAATAAAGTTTGAAAACATCTGTGGGCTATATTCACACAATATTAGCCGTGTTTGGCACATAACATAGCACACTCGACAATAGTCAGATGTAACAAGTGATATAACTTAATCAGTATTAAACAGAAGCAAAAAGAGATAATATGGTCGTTTTAAAGGATAGCACACATGTGTGATTTCATGTTTGTACATTTAATTTTTTCCCCTACTGTTCTTGATGTTAAAATATCAATTATTTACTTTGCTCATGGTGTGTTGTCATCATGATATGACAGTTTTTGTTTGAAGTTTTTTTTGTTCATGTTTGCAATTCAATTAGAAGTACATAAAGCGATCAGCGTTTTCAGGCGGCTCTTTGAATATCGAAAGGTAAGCACGTCAAAATGAAATATACACAAATAAGTTGTCTACTTTATTCTTCAAAATCAATATTTGTCAATTGTAACAATGGAATTAT